ACTTGCAAAACCTTATGGACAAATTTGTTTTAAACCAATGTGAAGCTATTGATTACAACGTAGTGCAGTGACAATGAATAAAGATGGAAACTCTTGAAATTGTGACAAAAACTGGAAAGGGGCGACTGAGGAAATCATATTGGAATTAATCATATATCATATTGGAAACCGACACTCTGATTGGTGTAGAGAGGTAGCACATCTTTCACCTCTGCCATCTAGGTTTCAATTAAGCCATACAAGATGAAAATCTGGTATTCATATTCTGATTGTATAGGAATTGAGTTTGTGATTCCCAGTTCAGTTTTGAGTGAGGTACATGAGCAAGTTTGGTACTAAATGGCAGGAAGGATCACAAGAACAACTGGTATCTGTATTTGAAAATATTATTATCCCAGGCGTACTTCAGAGATTGAGCTCAGTTTCAAACTGTACAATGACTGAGCTTGATTTGATATGGGAAACGTTTATCCCCCAGTGTTAAAATCCATCACCCGAATGTAATGCATTCAAAAGAACACATTTAAATGTTCTGTTTTCCTAAGCACATAACATGTGGGTTGAGAAATGTTATTATATCTTTCACCTTTTTGTTAGAACGAGAGCAGTTCAACCAATTGAAGAATGCAGAGGTACAGCATTGCATATTTTCTGTAGTTTGTTCCCTTCGTGGTTGCTTTTTATCAGCCTGTTATTGATATGTAGTCAGTCTATTTTAAATTTGAACAGGAGGTAGCAATGATAACATCCACATGTTCTCTAGTTTTGCCCTTTCATTTACCCCTACCACCAGTGTGTTTTTAGTTTCAATTTTTACGTGTCATACCTCAGTGGTTACCTCATCTATTCTACTTTTAGTAACATTTGTCTGAGGGTTACCTACTTACTATATCAATGTCATCTTTTGCAGTCCCTAACTGATAACATTTTGATTTAATTTTGGAAATTGAGAGATTCTGTTTAAATATCATGACAGTTCCAAGGATATTCTTGAGACTTGAAGTTATTCCACTTTACTGCAACAATTACTTATATTAATATTGCACCTTTGATATAGGATATTGCTTCAGTGTTTCTCAATGCTGAGCAAGACGGAAGGGATTAGATGAATTTATGTACTCATGGAAAAGAGATCTGCAATCAGATTTATTTGAAGTGGTAAGGTTACAGTGTGAGTAAGTTATGGCAGTGAATTTTAGATTTAGGGTTCCAAATCTTTTATTACTGTTGATTTTACAATACCCATTACAAAATCAATTATGGATTTTGTTGAACTTGCTCCTTAATGTAAGCATTTGTGCTACCTCTCTGCCAAATCTGCTTGTTAATTCGGCTAAGAATAATCATTGGTCAAGCTTTTTAATAGTTCAGCTGGTAAAATCACTGCCAGTGCAAAGCCGAGACATAGGTTCTATGTTTCATCATTGGTCTTTGTTGATCTCACCTGAATTCTGCAGGTGAATTCTGAATTCTTGCTGCAACTGTATAGGACCTTGGTGAGACCGCACCTAGAGTATTGTGTGCAGTTTTGGTCTCCTTATTTAAAAAAGGACATACTTGCCCTAGAGGGGGTGCAGCGTAGATTCACTAGATTAGTTCCTGGGATGAGGGGACTGACCTATGAGGATAGGTTGAATAAACTAGGGCTGTATTCTCTAGAGTACAGAAGAATTAGGGGAGATCTTATTGAAACATATAAGATTCTTAAAGGGCTGAATAAAGTAGACACTGAGGAACTGTTTCCTCTGGTAGGAGAATCTATAACCAGGGGTCACAGTCTTAAAATTAAGGGTCAGCCTTTTAGAGCAGAGTTGAGCAAACATTTCTTCACTCAGAGGGTAGTGAATTTATGGAATTCACCACCCCAGAAGGCTGTGGATGCTCAGTCCTTGAACATCTTCAAGGCTGAGACTGATAGATTTTTTAAAAATAGAGGGATTAGGGGATATGGGGATAGGGCAGGTAATTAGAGTTAGGTCAGAAGATCAGCCATGATCTTATCGAATGGCCCGGCAGGCTCGAGGGGCAGAATGGCCTACTCCTATCCTAATTCTTATGTTCTTATGAATTCAGCGTGGTGTTAGATTTGGCCTCAATACCCTGACCCAAGGGGAAAAATAAATCGGTCACTGTTCCTACTCCTGATCACTGTCAGGATATCCCTGCTGCAAAGTAGTATTTGAGGACGTTTCTAGATCATCCTTTCTCCATCCTCTGCCCCTCTTCCCCCCACCCACCCCATTATTTTGCAGCAGAGATGTTGTACTTAAGAAGGGAAGATTTTGACATCCTTCACAGAATTCAGATACAGTAGAGGCTTGTAAATGATTTTAGTTAAATTCACAAGTTTGAATCTGTTTTGCTATTAGTTGATCACAGCTGGAGCAGGTCGCAGAATCCAGAGGGTTAAATCCGCTCCTACATTAGAATATGAACTTGTGAGACATTGGTGCGTTTTCTACTTGGCATCAAAAAGTAGAAAGGATGATTCACATTCACTATTTCTTTCTCAATTAATTGAAAATATAATATTTGGGAAGAAAAAGCCTTGGAGATATTGTTAATGAGTCCTGTGCAAGCTGCTAAACCTATTTTGATCTAGCCTTGTACCTGGTCATTGTTCTCCAGGTAGATATTAAGAGTTGGAAGTGCATTGGACCTTAAGCTCCTTTAGGAAAGAATCTATAAATCCGTCTTTTTATAATGCACTGAAATGTCTTGAAGTGCTTTTCAATAAGTCTTGACCAGTGCAGTGACTTTGTAGGCAAATGCAACAGTCATTTCATGCACAGCAAGAATCAACAAGGTGATTTATTTTTAAGTCGTCTGGGTGTCTTATACATCACCATGCATAAGAGTGAGTAAGACCATAAACCAGACTGAGATTTCCATGACCACCACCTCCACGCAGAAATCAATAGGAATGGAATGCACACTCCCCGAAATGAAACATCCTGCTTGCCCAATTCCAGAGAGTATTATGCATAGGTTGGCAAGAGGCAAAGCTTGTGAACCCCAGAAAGTGTCTGGGGAACCTCTGGATTTTTAACTAGCTAAGATAGTGTAGCTTGCCATGGAGAACACTGATAAGTTTCTCACTGCTTGTCCAGCTAGGACCCCTTGCAGAATTAGCAGGAGCTGAGTGGCAAGAATCCCTGCCATCAATGATGCTTATTAAGTAAGCCCGATGTACGACATTGCACTTGGGGCCTTTAAAACAGCAAGGTGCTTGTCACAAGATGTAAAGTTCTCTCACCATACCAAGGGTAGTTAGATAGCTAGTTGTCAGCCTAGGGAGCTTTTATGTTTAACTTACTGTATGAAAACAAATGGTTAACGGTTTTCTATCCTGCAACATTTTTAGAATCATAGATTCTTGCAGCACAGAAGGATGCCATTCAGCCATTGTGCCTGTGATTATAATACTGTTTGAAAGTGCTATAATCCTTGCATTTGATAGAGCCTTATCACCTCTTCAAGATATCTCAAAGCGTTTCACAGAATATACTGTAAGTGAATTGGCTATATATTTTTGTGGGCAAAACACAGCAGTCAATTGCGCACATAAGTGTCCCACAAACGGTCGTGAATTGAAGTGATCAATTTACTATTTTTGTTGAAGGAACTATTACTCCCGGAAAAGCAATCTGCCAATCGACTAACAACCGAGTTCCTACTTACCGCTAGGTAAACAGGCGTGTGGAATAAGGAAACTTGCCCAACATTTTGCCCTGCTGGGAATTCAACCCAGGTCTCTCATTTGCGAGGGGATTGCTCTAACCACTGAGCTACAAGACTCCACGTCCACATAGCTATCCAAAAAATACCACTTACTGCTCTTACCCCAAACCCCTGCAATGTTTCCTTTTCAAGTACCTATCCAATTCTCTTTTGAAAGCTACTATTGAATGTGCTTCCACCATCCTTCCATTGGATTCCAGGTCTTCTCATTGTTGGTGGGACAATGGAGTCACTTTTTGTCTGCATAAAATGTACTACAATTTTATTAATCATTTAAAGACATTTTGATTATTATCTTCACTTTTTGAAATTGAGCTGTTGAAACAAGTTTGTCTTATTGTGATACGATTCCGTACCACTATTTTGAAGAGAGGATAGGGCATTTCCTCTGTTGTTCTGGCTAATATCCTTCCTTCATCCGAACGCCCCCCTCCCCCAAAAATGGCTACTGTTCTGTTTTTTTGTGGGATGATGCTGAGGCAAATTAGCTGTTGTTTGCCTACATAATACCGTTCACCTCATCTCTAATTATTGTTTGAATGCACTTTGAAGTGGGAGGGATTTTACCAGAAAAGTCCTCTAAATATTTTGTTAAAGTATATTTAATCATATAGTGAAAGCGTATCATCTTTTAATGAATTACTTTGTAATGTTATTGAAACAATTTAATAATGAGGTTTGGAGCACTCGCTTCATGTAGTGGGATTATTGTCTCAATAATTCCTTTACTTAAAATTGAAAAGATATTTCGGTAAATTCCTGCCTACTTATCCTGAACTTGCTTGCAGTAATAGATACCCAAAGTCAAGCTTGTTTTTAATGTTTCAGTATGCTTGTTCACTAACTCTTCTGTTCCAGACAATGAAACACTGCACTCTAACCAAAAGTGCCATTTGAAAAGGTTTATAGTTTTTACTCTGGAGAACCTGTAACTCCTATCACTGGCCAGTGTTTGAAGATGTCAGTCTTTCTAATTATCTGCTCAAGCATTTATTTGGCAACTTTATTAAAATGAAATAATGTATTTTGCAGTAAATTAACAGTGCATTTTACAGTGGAGTTCCTTTTTTTAAACTAATAGTGTAACATATTGGTTTAATCAAAGCACTAGTCTACAATTTTAAAGATCTAAATATTAGCTAGACTGATTAGGAGTTGTGCTAATTATTTTAGAAGAATATATCCTTTCATAAAGCCTTTAAGGAATCAGCCATTTATTTACATTTTCATTGTCATTTACTGTAATATCTCTTTTTCAGTAAAACCTCACCCCTGTGATGTAGATGATAAGGTAAGTGTTGTTCATGTTTCATTACCTTTCTTTCAATTAAATAGCATTGTGGTATTTTTTTAAAAAAACTTCAAGGTTCCCTGTTTATTGTTATAAACAAGTATTTCATAGCTACATTCTGGACAGTAAAAAATCTCATTTTTGTGAGTAGTATTTAAGTAACACAGTAATATTGTGGAGAAACTTATATTTATTCTGAAAATGATTGAGGCCTAATATTGAATTTTTCAACCTAGATTGAAGAAAGAGTAATTTTGATCATTCTCCATAGACTGCATGATCACCTTGCAAAAATAGCAGGTAAGACTTCAAGTTTACTTAACTGTTATTTAATTTTTGCCTTATATCCAAACAGTTATTTTTTAGGTTTGTAAAGGCACCAACAGTATACAGAATGCATGGAATCATGTTGAAAGTGTTGTCCTTTAGATGATACTTAAAATCAAGATCCTGTCTGCCTGTTCAGGTGGATGTTAAAGATTCCATGGAGTTTCTTCCGGTGTCCTTGCCAGCAATCCTTCAGATGAAACAATGGTATTCACTTCATGGCTGTTCGTGGAAATTGTTGTGTGCCAATTGGTTGCTGTGTTTGCCTACAAATATTTACTGCTCTTCACAGTAAAATCTTGTGAAGCACGTTGAGTCATCTCGACAATGTGATAAGGTCCAATATCAAATGCAAGGATTATGTCCAATATTCATATTTATAAACTGCAGCATGAATTGGTTGAAACGTGCAAATTGGGAGTACTAGTGATTCTAACATTTTTAAGAATGCTTACGTTTCTTACAGGATTCTGATGAGTTTCTGTTGTTGATTTGGTAATTGACCCGTTTTCTGCTTCCTTTTTTTGCAATGCTTATAGATTCTGTAATCGAGCAAAGTGCAGATATTAGGATTTTGAAGACCACACTAATTTGTCTGCATTTTAATGATTATAAAAGGGCATCATAGCAGCCTTGGTAAATTCAAATGGTTTATTTTTAAAATGTCTTGCATTTTTGACTGTAGACACCATTGTTGACTCTAGACGTCTTATATTGCGTAAGATGCCTAACCAAATCCATAATTTATTTTAAAAAGCAGAGACTGTACAAAGAACAATCTCCAAACAGTGCCTCTGTTGTGCGCGTTCTTTTGTGTAGCAGGCGGCAAAAACTAAGCCCTGCATTTGTTTTCATGTTTTTATCCACTATCATATAAAGGCTCTTCTCTAGCCCACTTTTTAATTATCAATGGGTTACACCCAAAATATTTGTGTGTGCATTAGACAATCAAGCCAAAATTACATTGCAGACCATTCTCCATGTATTATGCTTTACTAATTAAAAAGCACATAGTCTTCAGCTAATGCTTGGATAGACAAAACTATAGTTGCCTTCATTGTTCTCACATAGTAACTGGCAACTACTTTTTTTTTCTTTTTCAAGTATTGACCGATTTTTGTTTTGGAAGAATGAGTTATTGTTTATATTAGCCAATGCCACTGAAACCTCTGATTCAAGCTGCAGCAAAAATATTGGAATTGTTTTTGAATAAAGCACAAGGAAAGTCTAAATTTGAGTGGAGGTTTATGCATATAGTTAAACTTAACACTTTTTGAGTTTTGCCTTTCAGTCTGCCAATTACGATTTCCTGAGTTCTTGTTGTCGCGCTATAAATTCCACTTATGGTTTTCAGTAAATATTCAGATGCCATGTTCACCAAATGCTAAATTTAACCTTTTAACCATCAGTCTTATTTCAAAATGATGTAGTTCATTGAGGAAGAAATCCTTGTGAAGTTAACTTTATTTAAATTTACTTGGTAGTCACAACATGTTTCAAATTTTCTTCTGGCTAGGTTGGGCTAGAGATGGGTTAGTTTATATTAATTCTATTTTTGTCATCCAAATAATGTTTGAAATTCTGCTCAGTGATGTGCACCTGATTCTTATGGTAGCTTCTTTGGTTTTTTACTCATCTTGGCTTCCCATTTCCTCATTTTTATTTTAAATCGAATATGTATGCTGCTTCAATTTTCATAACCAATCAACTTCATACCAATCTCAACTTTTGAATATTTTTGCATTACGTCATACTTAATGGAGGGAATTTCTTCTCTTCAATTTGATTCTTTGCAGCCCTAAAGAGTACCTCCATATGTTTAAGTGGCCGAAGGACTGTCTTTAATAGGTTGGCCTTTATTAAAAGTTAATCAGATGCAGTCATTGTGTTAATCAAAAAAGTACATGGGAATTTTATTTGTCCAAATGTGATTGTATTTTTTGGGTGGAGATGGGGAGAAAGAGAAATTGATAGAAAATATCTTCCTTTAGGCCTACAATTGATTATTTTTATCTGTCATTGGGGATTTGGGGTCAGAAGCTGTGATAACAGAATAGATTATAGCCAGGAGAGACAATTTGAGGTGTTATTTTATAGTATCATTTATAAAGGACACCCTTTTATTTCAAGGAAATTCAGAGAAAGAAATTGAGTAGAATGATTGCAAGAGAAATATTTTCATAATAGAAGAAATAAACAGAAAATGAAAAATATGAAAGTAGAGGTACTGAGAATTGTAGGGAGAGTAATCTAAAGGATATTATTCATTGGTGCTTCAAATATGAAGTTGTAATAAAAATGCTCACAGAATTTAGCCTTTAACGTTTTGTTGCATAGCTTTTGATGTAATTAAGGTGAAGACTAGGAAACTTGACGATTACATTACCAGAATTGTGTTGCATTATAAGTAGCGTTATATCCTGCAATTGTCAAATATAGTATTTTTCTGTCTCACACTGAATCTCATTCTACTAATTCATGCACTCTCTAAAAAAGCTTATTGCATTGCTGCTGTTTTTCTTATCCCAGGAGACTATGATTGTGGAGATCATGTCCATTACAAAAACAGGAGTCTCTCTGTCCAAGATGCTGCTGAGTATGTAACTGTAAGTAATATAAGGTTTTATATTTCTCCTTATTCAGTGACTTATCTTCTAATGTTTGAACTGATTCTCCACTATTGTATTTTTCATATTTGAAGGTAAAATCAACAAATCTGCATACCAATTAGTCCATTACATTTAGTATTTGAGGGAGAAAAATCCCAAGTGCCTGCTGACTGTTAGATTCCATTGTATGAATTTTTATTTCCACTTGAGTATCATAATTCATGATTGTAATATTCATTTATATGCAACGAGGTTGTAGCAGGATCACTTGATTCAGTAGTGTGAGCAGCATCCTTGAAATCCTACATTGAGAACTTGCAAGCAAAGTTTGCAGTTTTACACAGAAAGAAATGTAATTTCTAGTATGTCACCAGGTAAAAGCCGAGAAGTGAGTTATAAATGTTTGAATCAGATTAACACTTGCCACTTGTATTGTGAATTTATGCCGGAGATCTCTTCATCCCCTCCCTCAATAGCTTAGTAGGTACAAGTCCGTAACATCTTGCAGGCCATTAGACTCCAGATTCAAAATTCTGATTGATCAGATTGATCAAAGTCAGGACAAAGGTTAGAATGCTACAATTACATTTAGATATTCTTTGCTAAGAAAGTGAAATTAGCCAGGATTTACATTCCCAATTGCTATCCTGTGACACTAGCTGGAATGTGAAAGTTGGTGAGTTTTGGGTTGTATTGTAATGATCTCCACAATCAAGTAAGGATATCCTTAGAAGGAGTTTAAGATACCCTGAGTCCATCGAGACACCTATTTAAAGAGGAGAGGAAAGGAGAACATTTCTTCCCAAAGTTTTTTTTATATATTTAAAAAAAGTAAAAATTTGCATAACCTGATATTTGTATTTGCCAATTTCCCTTCCTGACAAGTAACCCATTCTAGTACAGTGACCGCCCACAATTAACCACTAATTTAGTCACAATTCTCATTGGTTTGCTGCTATTTTAATCTATGTCTTTGGGTCTCTGCTGATTTAACTTTTTAAAAGTTTTATCAATGAGGCTTCTGGGGGAAGAGCTGGAAATGGATTAATTAAAAATGGGTGGTTTAGAAAAAGCAGTGATGCAGAGCCAATGGGCCAAATGCCCACCCTCTGCGCAGAAAATGTCAGCATCTATGGAGGAGCTTAGTCCAAGATGTTGGCAATGATATGTATTTAATAATGCAACTTTGAGATGAAACCTGAGTGTCCAACAAATAGCAGGACGTACTTGTGCTGCTAATTTGAATCCTTGTATTTTGTTTTTCTTTGATGTCCCATACAAATTTCATGGCAAAATAAGAATACGTTTGAAGTTTTTTTTAAAGGAACAAGTAAAGGCCTTGTACTGAATATGGAATATAATGGCAGTGTGATATCAGATACTTTTCTGAGCCAAAGCTTTTAAAATTGAAACTAAATAACCTATATACCTTTTTAAGTCACTGAATGCCGATAATTCCTCAGTTTATTTGCACAAAGGAAGGAAACTGATTGGTGCAGAAGTGTTGGGAGTGGTCCTTGAATACTTTGGAAACTAAAATTGTTGCACGGTTGTGTGTTTTATTAGATGTGATTGAAGAAAATGATGGTCACCTATTTTAAACAAAAGACCATTAAGTTTAATAATATTTAGATGAGGGAAAATAAGACAGGGCTTTGGAGATTTCTTCTTAAAACCCACATTCATTGAGAAATTATATTATTTTATGGTTGTAGTTTTAATTGGTCCATGTTCATATAATACAGGTTAAAGTGCTACCTCGGTGTGCTGGATCTTCAGATTTTAAATGCATGTTTTATGTAATTAAAATGGATTTATAATCTTGATTTGTACAGGTCCTTGATCCCAATCATGATGAGAGATTTAACCGTTCACTCCAATGGATTTTACAGAGTACAGATGACCTTGGTATAAAGTGAGTGAGTCTGTTCATTTTGAGAAAGATGCTGAACCCAAACCCCATTTTTAGCTACAAGAAATAGACCTATTTCAGTGCAGCAAACCTAATGAAAACCATATCTTGTCTTTGGTGCACAGGTTGATTGGTGGTAACACAGAAATGAAAGTAACTAATGTGACTGAAGTAAGATACCTGGAGTCTACTCATCCTCAAATGTCATTCATCTGCCGTTTTCGTCGAGCATTTTTAACAGTCCTTCACAGAATGTTTATTTTCCTAGTAGGTGAGTTTCACAGTTTATGTACTCTGGAATTGTTATTTTATCGTATGGTTCCCAATGTCACTGAATGACTTATTGATGTGTGTGCATATATATATATAATATACACACACACAATATATATATTATGACTGGAAAAATTGTACCTAAACCAGGAAAACTATTTGCATGAGAAGAACAATATACAGCACCTTCTTTCACGTAGGAAGAATGTCTCAAAGCACTTTACAATCTCTAAGCAGGAGCCAAAGCTGTGGGAGATGAGGGGAGGTAGGCATAGGTGGCCGAGAAAGGGCTTTAGAAATATTTTTTGAAAAAGGGTCTCTAGAAAGGATCGCTTTCCAGGAGTATTAATCTCTCCACCAAAAAATAAATAATTGGTCACTCAATACATAATGGTTTGTGGGACATTGTTATGCACAATTGGCTGCCATGTTTATACGCCCCACCACCCACCCACCACCTGCCAAGTTTGGGGGTGGGTACATATAAGAACGGGCATCCAAGCAGTTCTCCTTTATGGTTCTGAGCTACTGAGTGTTGTGGAGAGGTTTCCTCTGGCTCAGTTGTGAAATCTAGGATCAAGCAGTGGGAAGAATTTGCGGTAAACAGAGGAAGTTACTGTAGGAAACAAAGGCAGGGCTGATGTGTGCTTGATTACATTGCTATGCAGTCCTTGATGTTTACATGTTATTTCTAGCTATCTTTGAAGTTCCCAGTGTTTGTAAATAACTCATCGTTATGTAACACATCAAATCTCTGAGATGTATTTATTTTCAACAGTATATGATACTATAGTAAACGTTTCGGGTGTTGAAAGTTAAACAAGATGTTTTATTAGTTTAATTTTATCTTGCATCATTAATTTGTAATTTACAGGTGTAGGAATTGTATGGGGAGTTCTTCGTTACATGAAATATCGATGGAGGAAAGAAGAGACTGAGAACAGACAGATGTATGATATGGTGGAAAAAATCATAGGTATTTAGCACATGTTCTTTAAATTGTACTTGAAGGCTAGTGATGTTTCTTATCAATATAGATTGACAACTTGCCAACTGCTATTAGATGTTCCTATTTACTGTTGGAATATATGAAGTGGGTACAAATGAAATTGTGTCTAAGGCACTGCACTTTTGCTTAGATGTTTTAAGAAGCCATAATGAAGCCTGCCAAGAAAACAAGGATTTACAGCCGTATCTACCCATTCCCCATGTTCGTGATTCTCTGATGCCACCTCAGACTAGGTAAGAAGTTATGAGTCAAACAAATATTGCTAGTTAATTCAATAATCCAAAAAATGTTAACATTGTAATTATTTTGTCGTAAGCAGTTCTTTGTTTGGGTTTTCCAGGAAAAAAATGAAACAGGTCTGGGAGAGAGCTGTTGAGTTTCTTGATACAAACGAGTCACGTATTCGGAAAGAAACCCAAATAATAGGAGGAGCGGATTTCTTAGTTTGGCGGTGGACTCAACCATCTTCAAGTTGTGATAAAATAACAGTTGTACCATCCAAAGTATGGCAAGGAAAAGGTAGGATGTGTTGATGTTTGTTGCATTTTGGGCAATTGGAAGTTTATTCCAAAATGCCGGGGTTGTGTTCATTTGAATTTATTCATACAGTTGGATTCAGTGGATGAGGGGAGTCCAGTGAGATCTGTGTATTGGAACATGGTATTGTCTTTTTTTAAAGAAACTGACTTAGATTATTTTAATTCCTCTTATACAGCCTTCCATCTTGACAGAAGAAATTCTCCACCTAATAGTTTGACACCATGTTTAAAGATTCGCAACATGTTTGACCCAGTCATGTAAGTACCTGACTGTTTGTAATAATTATGTGGGATTTTTATAGCACAATGTTGCTACTTCATACATGTATCAACCTGACAAAGTTCCATATGTTGTAGCAGAATAATTTTAGAGTTGTGTTTTCAGAAACTTTAGTTCTGTAATTTGACTAATTATTTGAACAAATTGAAACAATTGTTGTGTTGTCAACAATTGTGTTTGAAGCTTGTACATCTACATCTTTTGCAATATTTTACATGCTCAAATTATGTAGTATGTTCAAAGATAGAATTGTATTGTAAGTTTGTATCTACACTAATATACTGTAAGCATGTTTTGATCACTACAACAACAACAAAATTACATTTGTATAGCGCCTTTCACGTCAGGAGGACGTCCCAAGGCGCTGGATAGACAGAGTTATGGATCCGAGCTGGGGGTCGGGGTTCGGAAGGGTGGAGGGCAGGGGAGGAAGCAGGAAGATTGAAAACATGGCCGAAGAGGAGGGTCTTGAGATGGGCCTTGAAGGTGGCAAGTGAGGGGGCGAGACGGCGGGACTGCAGGATGGAGTTCTAGAGATTGGGCGCAGAGTGGCGGAAGGTCCGCCCGCCAATAGTGGGGCGAGCAAGGCAGGGGACGTGAAGCAGGCCGGAGCCCGCTGAGCAGAGGGAGCGAACAGGATGGTACGGGGTTAGGAGGATGGAGAGGTACAATTTTAATGTGCATGTAGACTGTTTCTGAAATACTGGTCAACGTGGTTCTAAATACTAATTAGTTTTAAATAAAAAAGGATGGCTCAGGAGTAAATGAAGATAAAATGTATTTCTAAAACTAGGACTCTTCTACCTACACAACACAATTGACTATAACATAATTTAATTGTGTAGGATTCAAGTGTAAGCTTTTAAACTACTTTTGAATTATTGTATCCAAAGTGGTGGACAACAACACAATGACATTGGGAGGATGTCCCAAAGCACTGGACAGTCAGTCTTTTGGACCCGAGCTGGGGGTTGGGATCGGGCCATGTGAGGGCAGGCAGAGAAGGCACGGTCGACGAGGAGGTTCTTGAGATGGGTCTTGAAGGAGGCAAGGGAGGAGACAAGGCGGAGGGACTGCGGGATGGAGTTCCAGAGGGTGGCGGCAGAGTGGCTGAAGGCCCGCCTGCCAATGATGGGGCGAACAGGGCGGGGGATGTGAAGCAGGCCGGAGCCCGCTGAATGGAGGGAGTGGGTTATAAACTTGTTCAAGATTCAGATAACATTCAGATATTGTTTGAGCCTTTTCAATAATAACAGCAGCCAAATTCCTCAGCTTTGCTGCAGAACTGTTACATGAATTTGTGTGTAAAACATTTTTTTAAAAAGCTGAAGTAATTATTGCTGTATCTTACAGGGAAATTGGTGATGACTGGCATGTTGCAATTCAGGAAGCAATCCTAGAAAAATGCAGTGACAACGAGGGAATTGTTCATATTGCAGTGGACAAGAACTCGCGTGAGGTTGGGAGTCCTACCTCTTATATGTAGATATTTTTGTGGTCAATCATCTTGATGTCTGGTGACTTGGTTTACTTAAAAGTCTGAGAATGTTTCATGTAATTGATGTGGTTTCCTTGATTCTTGTTCATGTAATTTCCCCTTGCTGTTTCTGTTGCAGGGCTGTGTGTATGTAAAGTGTCTCTCTCCAGAGTATGCTGGCAAGGCTTTCAAGGCACTTCATGGCTCTTGGTTTGATGGTAAGACATTCACAAAATAAAGTTTGCCAAGTTTAGTTTTCTTTTATTTAAAAAAAAGTGTGGCTTATGAACATAGAATTAAAAAGACTTCTGATCTTACTGCCTTTGTAAGCCCACAATGCAAATATTTTCGGCTATGGCCATTGGATAGTGATCAAGAGCGATATCCCTGTCTGATATTTTCACTCACCAGCCTAGGGATCACTGCTGGGTGGTGAAAGTCAGCTGGGGTTTTTATAGCTAACGAATGACTTTATGGAAAGTGAATATAACGTGAAGACCAGATTGGGGATGACCATGAAGCCTGTATTAGAATAGCTTTCTATGGTTTCCTATAAAGAATGGCCACTTGAGTATGGTTTGGAAAATGTAGTGTAAATCTGTACTTTCACTGGGGGTGGGAAGAGTATGGAGCCAAATCTTTGAGAGGGTGCATTGGGGCAACTTTTGTGGGTGGCAGCAGTCCATAGAAGTAAAGAATAATCGGAACAAAAGCACCACAGCCTACAAAGCTTCCTCTAGTCACCACCATATGAGATGCTTGCATCTTGGAGGGTCTACAGGATAATGTATACTTTACTAGAATACACTTAACGTCTAAATGTCATGGATTAAAAATAATAAACAGTTGAAAGGATTGTTTTGAATAAAAACGCAAGCTTTGAACAATTTTTTTTTCCTTTTTTTTGCAGGAAAGCTAGTGACTGTAAAATACCTGAGGCTAGATCGTTACCATTATCGTTTTCCCCAGGCAATCCACAGCAACACTCCTCTAAAGCCATCAAATAGGCATATGAACTCAATGTCGCACCTGCGTCATCTGACCAACACAGCTAACTCACAGGGAACCTCCTGAGATCTCCTACCCTTGCCGGTGCTGTTGTACTGCAGCAGGAGATGTCCTGCTTGAACGCTCCGTCTTCCTTTTTATTGCTTTTATATGTACAATTTTTGTATTATAAAGAGTGCTCTTTTGTGTCAGAATGGCCAGGAAGCTGGAGAAAATTTCCAAAGAAGCTATCTGTAGCAATGGTGTACTGGGGGTAAAAAGTCATGCATGGAATTAAACCATATATGATTTTCATATGAAGTACCATTATTTCTTTGTATATCCAGTACAAAAACACCATGTGCAGCTTATGGACTGGGCTAGGATGGATGTGCTTGTTTGCAACTTCGAATGCTGGCATTACTTATGTATATTAGACATTTAATCATGTACACTACAGTCTAGTCAGTATTTGACAACAAGTATAGGCAGAATATCGACAAGTCTCATTTGATTGCTTAGAACTTTTATATTTTCTGGACTGATTTTCAATGGTTGAACGTAAATTTATATAAGCAATTGACGTTGACGGTTTGATACCTACAGATGGCATTGTGAGAAGTGACAACACAGAACGAGCACACAAACAAATGTTGGGCACAATTTGACAGCTGTTGTAAATGAACTTGGAACATCAGTTATGGCAGCTTTATAGTAAAGTTGTCTGCATTAAAAATGAAATCTGATTTTACAGTGCGCTAAACATGCCTGGATTATGTATGCATTACGGATGCATCATATTGCAGGGAGGAGGCAGCCAGCAGCATTGTGAAGTTCGTTTGCAGGAGGATAATTACTAGTTACTCTGAAACAGCACAGAAAAATATTTACTAACGTATTTTGATTACGAATATGATCTGTACTTCAGTAACCAGTATTACAAGCATCCGGAATGGTGGGACTAATTGCGTAGTTTCACAGTTCTCTAATCCTGCTTTTAATTTGCTGGTTATTCACTTTTTAGGTCATTTAATGCAGTTAAAAAGTTATTTTTCAGCATGGAATTGCACTAATGCACAATTTACTTAGAGTAAACATGATGCACACTGCCTGCAGCAGAGAGCCTTACTGTGCCTTAACTTTGTGTGCTTGATACAGGCACTGTACTGAACAGGAATGTAGTTTAACTCCCAGTTTTAAAATGTTCCAATTAAAAAGAACTAATTCAGTTTGTTCTGTACAGCTTTTTGTTGCACTTGGGTTAAGTTGTAATACAAATAAAAATTAGCAAGGAATCTTGCTGTACATTGTGTGCATTGTGAGATGATGTTGATATTGTACATGTTTTTGGGCCAACCTTTGGTGTGCCTGACCATTGACCTGTTGTAAGAGTGAATGTAAAAGTGGAGTGGCTTTTCAAACAAAAGGGCACCGCTTGATGCAGATGCATCTTTGAATTTTCCAGCTTCTATGATGTATTTCATTTTATGTAAACACTGTACATTTATATATTGTAATATGTACTATTATGCAGCTTATTTTGCTTATAACTGTTAATATTGACAATATCCCTACCTGCAAGACAGATGGGAAGGTGTATAATATCCAGAAGTTTGAGAAGTTCAGATGTTTAATGTAATTTGTCATTTGTCTTGTAAAAACAACTCTAATTAAAGGTTTACTAGGGGTTTTTAAACATGCTAGTACTTGTTTATGTTGAGAATAAGATTCTTTACATTCCGGCTAACAGGATTATAGTGATTCCATATCTTGCCTCTGGCACAAATGGTGTCATCCAAGTAAAAGCATTCCAAATTTGGTAGGTAGTGCAGTTCACGTTTTAAAAATCTAATCTTGACAGTGGGATGTGTATGAAAAAAAATAATAGTAACCTCCCAGGGACTTGGGAGCTTTTGATATTGTACAGATCAATGAGAATAAGTGAGTTTTGAGATACTTTTTGTTTGAAGTTGTCCATGGAAGCAGGTATAGTATATGTTAGAAATTGGATAGATGGGTGGACAGTTTATTTCTCTAGTGATAGAGAATTCCAAATATATATGTAGGTTATCTATCCTAGAACAGTAACCTGCTGGCCTTGATATCCTTGAAAACTTATGCTGTACTTTTTCCACTGCTGCTATATCCATCCTATAGTGCGGAGACCAGAATTGATACAGAGGTCCAATCAAGATTTTGTATAAATTCAAAATCACCTCAATTTTATATTCTGTCCCTCTAGATGTAATGCATATGACCCAATTGGCTGTGGTTACTTTTAGAGATTTGTGGATCTAAATTCTCAGATCTCTGCTCCTCTACTAGGTTCCTCCCATCTAGACTATAGATTGTTACTTATTTTTCCTGCTGAAGTGAATCACTTTTTTTTGCATTGCAAGCCACAAGCTTGTGATCTTTACTGTGCCTGTAAAACCAACCCTTTCTGTTTTTGATGCATTTTCTCCTGTCCATATCAGTCACAATTCACAATCTGTGTTCCATCATGTCGAAGTGGTAAGCCTAGCCAAAAAAGGTTTCATCTAAAGTGTTCAATCTATTGCCACTTTTATGCCATTACCTGTCTGTACAAAGTGTGGAATGTCTTTGTTCTGACAGCTGTGGGTAGTCTTTCCTCTCCCCCCACCCACACACTCTCCCGCCCCTCTTATAATTCTGCCTTTTTTTAAGAGCTACGCTTTTAATAACTGAGTACTGTTACTAAAACTTGGCCATCAATTGTCTTTAGAAATAATGCCTTCATCTCTCAGGTTAGTATGCTGATATGAGTCTGCACTGAGCTCAAGCTTGTATTTCTGTTCTTCAAACAAACTTGTTTAGTGTCATATGCCACTAGAATTAAGGACTGTTTGCACGTAGCGCTAAACTTGGACAGATAAGAATGCTTGACTGCTCATCCTGCTGTGCTAGCTTCCTATACTGCAATTATATGTTTAAAAATTGGGTTCAGTCTTTATACCTGAGCGTAACATTTATGAGTTGCAGATAGTTTCTGACCCTAGCACGTTAGTAGGAAGCCATTTTCTGATGCCCCTGCCCAAATCTCACCTTCATAGTCTAACCCTGCTGTGTCCAATTGGCTGCCTCGTTTCACCCACAAAATATACAGTCATTTCACTTTAACTTCTGCAATGCATATGAATAGTGAAAAGGTAGACCAAGCTCTCAAGCTCCTTAAGTGGAATATAACTAGCTCAGATGCCAACAAATTAAATGATCTGCCAATGGTTCAAAATGTCAAACATTTTTGTTTACAATACAAGTCAGAATCTTATTTTACTTTAAGCCCTAGTGCAGGCCTTTCTTGCCATTTATATTTGATGTTCTGAAGCTTTGTAGAATTAGTTGATGAAAGGTATCAAACAGTAAAATAGAACCGAATGATCAGTCTTAGGGAATCTAGGCTGTTGCAATTGCAAGCCATGTCCCTACGGGGCGATAAAGCTCTCTGTTCAATGAGACTGATATTATTTAATCAAACTCTTTGAGCATCTATTTCTAATTCAGTCTGGCATAAATATAGAAATAAGACCACTATAATATTTCTGCATCAAAATATAAAGTTTTTTTTCTTTGTGTAGAGTACTGTGAATAAAATACAGTAATTCTCTGCATTTTCTTAATTGTAAACATTTGAAATGTGTAGAAAATAATTTGCTGAAAAGTATGTATATTGCTTTAAAAGCAGCATTCTGAGTGAAAGCCCCAGTGTCTCCAGGAATTTCCTTTTTGCAAGCAAGAAATTCCTGTTGACAGATATTCACAAAGTTAGGCCCTTGTTGTGTCCCTGCAATATTGCTAACAAAAGTGGAGATGGCACCCAACCAAGTCTGCCATCATTTTACCATGTGCAGTGTTCTCAACCTTACAAACTTGTTTGTTCCTCATACTTCAGGGAATCTGAATAAATGTTAATAGACCAGATAATTTATAGAACTTGTATGTGCTGCATGGAGACGTTTTGATAATCTCTTTCAATCTTAAATTATTGTACTTAATTTACAAGCTCCTTTAATATTGGCAACATTTTGTTGAGGCCGTGATGATGAGCAGTGTTGTGCACCAATGCCTTGCACTGCACAGAGTATAGTGATGGGATATTAGGTGTCAGTCTGGCTCAGTTGGTAGCATTCTTGTCTGAGTCAGAAGATTGTATGTTCAAGCTCTATATCAGGACTTTGGAGTTACTCAGTCTAGGCTGATGCTCCAATGCAGTGTGGGGGGTTGCAGGCAGTATATTTCCCTACCGGAAGAGGGAAGAGAAACGACTGATTTCTTTCTCTGCTATTATCTCTATCCACCCCCCACCACCCGCCCCTTGAAAACAAATAATCTTCCATCCTGTTTTCCGGATACTGGTGTTGGTTGGATGGATGCCTAGAAGCCCTCCTAGAACTAATCCCAATGGACTTTTTAAAATTCATTTGCAGGCAGGCTATGGTGGGGGGGGGGGGGAGACGAGAAGAAACTTGGCAATCAAGCTTGACCTTAACCATACATGCAGTCTGTAAGCATGGGTCGCCGAATTGTGATGGGTTGGGAAACTGGTTAATTTTTCTCTTCGCTTCCCACCATTCCCCCTCCAGGGATGATGAGGCCATTTACACCGCTGTCCAGTTGAAAACAGCAATTTCAGCACAAATCTTCAGGAACTGATCACGTTCTTAAAATATTCTGGAACATTATGTGTTTGTTCTTGGATTTCTTAGTTTCTTTTCGCTGTTTTAGTGCAGTATTTCTTTTGTGTGTTACATCTCATTTTGGTTGATTTCCTATCTGATATTTCTGCCTGGTATTTTATGCGATTGTTTTTCTTGCATTTGATCATTCATTCATTCATTCATTCATTCAAACGCGAATTTCAAACACCACCGCACCCTCAAAATCCTGCTCGTTCTCACCTATTAGCAGTTACTTACATTACCAGGGCAGCCTGCAGCAAATTATATGGGGTTCGGGGAGAACAGATGGGCACGTATTTTACTGAGATTGGGCCACCGTGAATTTTATGGGGATCGGATGGAGAAGACAGACTGAGGCTTTAGGGCTGAAATGTGGAGCATGAGTTCAGTTACGCTGGATTTTATTTTAAATCCCAGTGTGAGATTCGAAGAGCAAAGGAGAATTGAGCGAGATCAGCCAATACATTTTACTGTTTTATTGATTTCATTGACCAGCTACAAAACAGCTTGATTTTACTGACAATTGGCAGCACTTGCCACACTGCTTCCAAGAACGTTCAATAAAGTTGGTGAAATGTGTTCCTATTTTTTCATCCACAATCATTGCAGCACAGCCCTCAATGGTGGGGAATGGTGTCTCAAAATGCATTGCTGGTCTGTTGCAGCCTTTGATTATGAGTGAAATTCTTATAATGCCACCAGAACTATTGATTCTGTTCACATCAGGTAACACAAGACCTGTAATTGGTTCTAAATATGAAATTACTTCATATTGCTTATATTTCACAAGGAATGTAGGAATTCAATAATTTCTTGCATGCAAAAAAGTGGAAGTATATTTTAGTGCAACAACAACAACTTGGATTTATATCGCGCCCTCCACGCCAAACGGTGTCTCAGTAACGGATCCCGGCGCCGAGCCAGGGGGATGGGGAGGAAGGTGACCAAAGGCGCGGTCGAAAAGAAAGGTCTTCAGCAGAGACCTGAAAATAGGAAGAGAGGGAGCGAGGAGAAGGGAGTGAGGAAGGGAGTTCCAGAGTATACTTCATTCCCATTTGGGGCATTTATTGCAAAACAAATTCTGATTTTATTTGCAATTAAATAAACAGTCATTCACCTTGGGAAATTACTTATGTTGACCTCTGTGCCAAATGATTATGTTGTGTAAATCAGCATAACCTGAACCTGAGATTTCTCTGCATATGATAAACAGTAATAGCAGAAAAAATCATATTTGCATTGTTAACATCAAAGGCAGCTCCAAGGATACCAGTGGCTCATTGATCCCTTAGTTAAGCACTATCATGATTGTAAGTGTGGATGTTAGCATTTGTACAAACCAAACGGTGAACTTAAAATGAATACGTTGACTTTCTGATGTATGGACATCACTGTCTAATAAAGAAAAAATAATGCAATATTGTTGCATTGCATTAGGTTTTAATGAAAATGCATACGCAGATGCACTTTTTTTTCAAACCAAATTCCACAGGAATTTAAACCCATTTCAAATGTAAGTGCCATAATGATGCTTTGGCCCATTTTGCATTTTACTTTGTTTTTGATTGTTGTCGATTTTAGTAAATTATTGGCTTGTAATTCAGGTGGATGTAAAAGGATCTTCCTCCATTATTGTGGAAAAATTGTGAAGTTTTTCTGCCAGTTATTCCGGTTTTTAATTCCCCTCCAAATCCAAATTTACCCCCAAATTCAAATTATTTGGCAACTCTCATTGTTACTTCTGGGATATTGCTGGCCCAGATTGCCTTCATAACATTCACTTCATTTTAATGTAATGTATTTTGTAAAGCGCTTTGAGACATTTACTTTTACATGAAAGGCAAATAAATGCAAATTGTTATAAGGGATGAATTTAAAAGCTGTGCTAGTGAAGTCTCTAAACAAACCAAATGGATATCTCCCTCTGTCTCTCTCTTAAGAAAGTACAACTTTGCCTCACTATGCAACCTGGCGATTTTATGGTGTGTTTACTGAT